CTGCGCCTCCCAGTGGTCACCTCCCAGTGGTCAGAAGGGTCTCCAAAGGAGCACCTGCGTGGGGATCGTCAGCCAAATCCAGATCACAGCTCATTCATTTCATCGTCAGCTGAGCAAATGCCTGATACCGGCATGGCCTGGGTTTGAGAACCAGCACAAAACCTATGCCCTGATCCTTTGTCTGATAGCATTCATTTTACTGCAATTAGCACACAGGTGGCAGTTCCGGCTGGTATTATTAAGGGACGACAGGCTGGTTATGGAGGAAGGTGGCTTCTTCAGCTGCCTGGTTCCCCCTCAGGAGAGATGCTAGGGCAGCCAGGCTGAATAGGGTGGAGCTCTGCCTGGGTGGGGGTTTTCCGAGTCTCTTAGATTCCACTGCAGTGATGGTAACATTTAACAGAGTTATTCTGTGCCAGGCACAGTTCTAAGTATGCTTGATATATATTAACCCGTTTAATCCTCATAAGAGTCCTGGAAAGTAAATATTATTATGACTGTATTTTAGTATAGTAATATTTTAGAGGAGAAAACAGGCACAGAGTGGTTAAGTAACTTATAAAAGGTCACACAACTAGCTACATGTAGAACTGGGACAATCTAAAATCTGTGTTCTTAACCAATATGCTATTCTATGTGCCTGGCCAGTTTACAATGACTTTTGGTTATTTACATCATTCAGATTTAGCATCTAGATTCGTGGGACAATTTCTTCCTATAGCACAATGCCACATTGCTGTAGAGTCCTCCAGTTATAAAGTGATGGCTTTGCAGTCACACTGCAGCCACGTGAGCACATATCGTCATTTGTCTTCTGGGTCAGGAGGCCTAGCCATGAACTGGCAGGCCTGGCCATGCCCACCACAGCCTCAGTCAGGACTCAGGGGTAGAAGCTAGACTGCACCACAGAGCCTGGGCTGAATCTGGGAATCTGACCAGCCCCAAAGTAAGGGGATTTGACACAGGTCAGCTTCACACCTCCCAGAGTAACAGCAGAAGGCTAGGCAGGGCCAGGCCTCCCAAGACAGCCTGGGATCTGCTAGACCACAAGGGTGTGCAGGGAGGGGCAGTACAGGGGGAACCTTTTAAGGCAGTCACCTCACCCCTGCTAAATAGGGCCTGATCAAAGTCCAGCAGCTCCTCACTCCCAGGCTTAGGGTGTGTGAGAGGAAGTGGCAGAGAAATCTTCCATACACGTGAAAGTGCATGCAGAGCCACGCATGCTTCTTATCCACTGCAGTCAGAGGATTAATCCATTCACAAATAATTAGGTTCTCTCTTTCTCTCTGTCTTTTTAAGTGTAAGTGAAGCTGCAGTGGATAAATTTCACTCCTTCTACCAAACTCGCCATTTTTTCCAGGTCTTTATGTTTTCTAGTAGAGTTGTATAGTTGTTATATAGGTGTTCCACATTTCTTGTTAAATTTATTCTTAGGTATTTTATAGCTGTGATTATTGTGAACTTATGGTATATTTATAAATATATATAATGGTTTTATATTTTTATATTCTCCAATCTGCCCACCTTTGTTCTTACATGCCAACTTTAATTCTAGGTTAAAAAGCCTTTTCCATTCCAAGATTATGGAGCTATTTGCTTATTATTTCTTCTAAAACTTATGTTTTTACTTAGTATCATTAAACGTTTTTTTGTTTGCATTTAAATAATGTAGAAGTTTATTCAGGGGTTTACGGTATGAAGTAGAACTCAACTTTATCTTCCAAATTATTAGTCAGTTGAACCAACGAAATGTATAGAATTACCCATCTTTTCCTCACTGATTTGAAATCTCACCTTTATCACATATCAATCAAAGTCTTATGTCTGTTGAATCTCTTTCTCAGTTTTCTATTCTGTTCTATTGATCTGTTAGTTTATTCGCAGGCCGACACTACAAAATGACTTAATTTCTTATTAGAAAAGCAATAAAGGCTTATTACAGAAAGATCAGAAAATACATGGACACAAACAAACCTAACAGAAAACACTGGTGATTGCATCCAGGGATAAGTACCATATTACCTTGGTTTACATCACTTCAGATCATTTTATTTATATAAATCTATGTAGATATATATTCATACAGTACAATTAAGGCCATGCCATATAAATAGTTTTGCAAATTTTTTTCACTTTGTAATACTTCAGGACTATGTTTCCTTGCTAGTAAATACTCTTCTTTTTAAAACTTTTTTCTTGTAAACTATAACATGCATATAGCAAAGTACACAAAACAAGCATGTTTAGCTCAATGATTTATCACGAAGTGAACATCCAATAAACTCAAGTCGAGAAATACACAGTGTTAGCACATTGGAACCTTATCTTTGGGCTCTCTCTCGTGGTCACTGCTTCCTGACACAAAGATAACTTCCTTGCTTTCCTTTTAGAATCTTACAACCTAAAATTTCATCCCTAAACAATATAGTTGAGTCTTGTGTAATTTTTGAGCTGTGTGTCAATGAAATTGTACAGTCCATGAATTCTTTAGTGATTGGCTTCATTCACTCGACATTATATTTATAACAAGCATCCATGCTGTTGTAGCAGTAGCTCATTCATTTTCATGGCTGTATAGTATTCCATTATAGGACTCTACCACAATTTATTGATAAGTTCTACTTTCCACACATATTTGGACTGTTTCCAGTTTTTGAACTATTATGACTAGAACTATACATTTTTTCGTTTCTATCTTTTGGTGTATATATATATACATATTTCTGTTGGTTATGTAACTAGGTGTGGGGATAGCTGGATCACCAGGGTTTACGTATGTTTAGCTTTCATAGATACCAAAAGAGTTTTGCAAATGATCATACCCTCCCACCAGCTGCATGTGAGAATTTTAGTTGCTTCCTGACCATGTTAATTAATTTATTTTTTAATTAAAAATTTGTTTTTGCAAACTGCCACCTGGATCCCAAAGCTCCTCAAAATGTACTTTTTTTCATGGGTGGCTGCCAAATTGTTGCTTCTATGGAGGGCATGCTGGCTAGATACTGCCTGTTCCACTATCTTGCTGACATCACTCTCATTAATTCTCGATTATCAATAATTTTTAATGTTAGCTCTTCTGATGGATAGGTGGTGGTATCTCATTATGGTTTTAATACCGTTGCCATCATGACTATAGATTGAATACTTTTCATGATGTCTATTAACCATTTAGATATTCTTTTTGTGTGTGCAATACTTATTCATGTCTTTTGCGCTTTTTTCTGTTGGATTGTCTTTTTTCGTTATTGACTTTTGAAGTTCTTCTTATTTTCAGGATATGAGTTCCATTTTTATTATAGGTGTTTCAAATATCTTCTCTTGCTCTATGGTTTACTTTTAAACTCCTTTTCTAAAACAGCTTTATTGAGATGTAATTCACACGCCATACAATTCACCAGTTTGGAGTATGCAGTTCAGTGGCTGTTGGGGTATTTGCAGTTATACAGCCATCACTGCAATCACCGCTTTCATCACCCCAAAAAGAAACCTAACACCTCTTAGCTGTCATCCCTTAGTCTGCCCATTACTTGTGTACTAGGCAACCACTAATCTACTTTCTGTTTCTACAGATTTGCCTATTGTGGACATTTCATATAAATGAAGTCACAATATGTGTTCCTCTCTGTTGGCTTCTTTCTCTTAGCATGACGTTTTTGAGGTTCATCTATGCTATAGCATTTATCTGTATGTTATTACTTTTTATTTCCAAATAACGTTCTATTGTAGGAATCTACTACATTTTATGTGTCCATTCATCAGTTGATGAACATTTGGGTTATTCTACTTTTTGACTGTTATGAATAATACTGCTATAAACATTAGTGTGCAAGCTTCTATATGGACATATGTTTTCATTTCTCTTGGGCATGTATGTGTATGTGTGTGTGTGTATATATATATATAATTAGCCACATTTCTAGTGCTTGTTAGCTACATGTAGCTATTGGCTACAAGGTTTTTGGCCTTCTCCTCACGTTTATATATATAATCCACTTGAAATAGATTTTTGTATATTGTATGAGATAGGAGCTGAGTTTCCTTTCATTTTCCATATAGATATCCACACCATTTATCGAGAAGACCAGCTTTTCCCTATGGGTCTGTAGCGTCCTCTTCATCGTAAGTCAAGATTGTCTAACAAGAATTCTTATGTAGGAACTTGGCACATGCAGCCAGTGTTAAACCAGAGAGATGCCAATCCAAATTCTTGTAAATGACGAGCATCTCATACAAGAGATTTCTTTTCACATTAGCAACTAAACACATCTGCCAAGTAAGAGTGAGTAGCTGAAAGCCAAGTACAAATTGTAAATTATTAGAACACTGTCACTTTTAATGTGAAAATAAATGTAAACAATTGGATCAAGCTTTGCACGTGTTTATACGATCACAGCAGAATCAAAACTTATTACCAGTACCTATCATCAGGTAGATTTATTCACCATGTGGCTACCAAGGACAGCTATAATATAAAATTTTATTATGCAGTCACTAGTTATATTACCAGTGCTGACATTAGATTTCATCTCAAAATAAAACAAACAAGTAATTATAGTTTTAGTTAAGATTTTTAGTTAAGGCTCATCACTTTAGAAAATGAAAAGGGTAACAAACACTGACAACAAAAGACTTTTGAAAGACCCATCTCTGTCACGATGCACTTGTCTGTTGATGGTACGAGGGCCATGAACTCGACTGGCCAAATTATAAAGAGCATCTACATTGCTTACAATTAGCTAGACCTTTGGAATACAAAATAGGATTTTGAAAAATAAAGTGGACAAATTTTGCACAGAAACCTAGGTCAGATGGCCAGATGCTTCATCACTCTACATTCAACAAAAAGGTAGAACTCTCTCTCTGCAGAGCCAGGATAAACAGTTGAAATTCTCTGCAGATATCTATCGATTCTAACCATATTTATTGGTCTATTGAACACACTCTTATATGTGTTTTTGAACACACCAAAAGTTTTTGTTTGGATGTCGTGATTATCTTTGAACATGACTATATTCACAAGAATCTTAAACCATACCACGCGAGCCCCCTCTGAGAAACAGAACATTTCTTAAAACAGTGCTACAGATTTATTCACTCTGCGTGAATTTTCTTATGCCCAAATGTGGAATGGATAAGTCACAAAATAAAGCAATTACCTGGAGAAGAGGAAGGAGACGGAAAAGGGACAGGGCTAAAAGTCACACTTCCCTCAGTATATCTGGTTTTGTAGATTTGACTAGAAATATGGGAATGTTTAACATAAGAGTGAAACAAACATAAATCAAAATGTATTGGCAATTTGTGTTCTCCTTTCTTTTTTCTTGACTAGTCTATCTAAGGTTGATCGATTTTATTGATCTTTTCAGAGAACCAACTTTTGGCCTCATCGATTTTCTCTAATGTTTGCCCGTTTCCCATTTTATTGATGTCTGGTCTTATTTTATTTCTTTCCCTCTACTTTGAGTTTAATCTGTTCTTCTTTTTCTCATTACTTAAGGTGGAAGTTTGGTTTTAGAGATTTCTTTTCTAATACAAATATTTGCACAGCTGTAAACTTCCTCCTAAGAATGTGTGTGTGTGTGTGTGTGTGTGTGTGTGTGTGTGTGTGTGTGAATGTGAAGATTTTGTTTTTAAATTATAAAACCAATTTCTTGAATAGGTACAGGGATAATCAGATTGTCTATTTCTTCTTATCAGTTTCTGTAATTTGTGTTTTTCAGTGACTTTTCAAGGAATGTGCTGGGTGTTCAACGAGGCTCTTTCACTCGGGCTGGCTAGAACTCAAACATCTCTGAGCCCTGAATGAGCTGCAGGAATCATTCAGCGTCCAGCTTTCTGACAGTGTGCTTTGCCTGCCCTGCAAATATGGACGCCAACTGTGCACGTAGCTTTGGGGGTGTCGCTGATTAACAACCAGTCTTCTCAGTGGACAGAGCTAGGGAATATATCTATAAGCGTAAGTCTACACACCAACTTATGCCTATATGTATTTCTTTATCTATCTGTATTGAAAACCATGAGGTCACATGACACCTCGAATTGCAGTCCAACTCCCCAGAGTACATTGTGGCATTCTCTCCTTACATATTCCTAACTCCCTTCTCTGACCTTGTGAAACTTGGTTTCCACTATCTTGGATATATTAAATTACATGATAATTGCCTTGTATATAGCTAATCTGTTATTGCCATTGCCACTTCTCCCCCATGGACGTCTTCCTCAGCAATCCTGGGCTCTGTGTCCCCAGGAAGGGTCACCTACCCCAACACAAAACCCTTTTCACCCCTCACCTCATGCCAGATTGTACCTAGCCTTGGTGGCCTTCTAACCTAGTTTAGCTCTTGTAGCATCTATTAGATTTATCTCTCCTACTATTTAAATACCTTAATTTCTAGTGTGACTCTATGGCAAACCTTCTCAGGCCTCATGATATTTTTTTTCATACCCTTATATTTGAATATAAGTTTGGCTGGATGTAAAATTATAGGTTTCTACATTCCTTTCCTTCGGTTGTTTGTAAAGAAAGATTCAACTGCGTTTCCGCATCCTGTACTGCTATTGAAAAATTGATGGAAATCTGATCTTTGTTCCTTTGATAAAATCTATTCTTTTTCTTGTAAACTTTAAAGTTAGTCTTTGACATTCTTAAATTTCATTATTATTTCTCTAAGTGTGGGTTTTCCTTTTCTCTCTTCTTTGACTCTCGTGGTTTCTTTCAATCTGAAGTCTTCCATCTTAGTTTAATTCTAGTGAATTGGTCTTCATTATTTTTTCAATTATTTCCTACTCTCCAATTTTTCCCCTCTTTCTAGAGTTTCATCTTTCTTTTCTGTTTATGTTTTCTGTTGGCTCTACATTTTTGTGATTGGCAGAATAATGGCCTCCTAAAGATGTCCACATCCTAATTCCCAAAACCCATGAGTACGTTAAGTCACGTGGCAAAGGGAAGGGAAGGTTGCAGATGGAGTTACAGAGGCAATCCTGGGTTATGCGGGTCGGCCCCGTGTAATCACGGGAGCCGGTAAATGGGAAGAGGGAGGCAGAAGAGGAGAATCAGGGGGAGAGGTGACTATGGCAGAGAGCAAGAGATGCAACGTTGCTGGCTTTGAAGATGGAGGAAGGGGCCGTGGGCCACGGAGCGAGGGTGGCCTCCGGAAGCTGGAAAAGGCAGGGGAACAGATTCACCCCTGGAGCCTCCAGAAAGGAACACAGGCCTGCCGACACCTTGATTTCAGCCCAGTGAGACCCGTGTCCCACTTCTGACCTACAGAACTATAAAGCAGTAAGTTTGTATTACCAAGTTTGTGGGAATTTGTTCCAGCAGCCATAGGAAACGAATATCTTTTTGTTAAAAATGATTATACTTTTTAAAAATTGTTTTTCTTATTTCTTTTCCTACCATTTGTTAATCACATTTCTTTATTTCATTTTTTTTTTCTCACTGATGGTTTGCAAGCTCCAGATCCTATTTTCGTTATTCTGGTGGTTACCCTTAATGTTTTCAGCTTTTTTCCATGTTAGATGTACACTTAGTATAAGAACCAATCATTGCATAAGTTTTGTTATGAGAAATAGCAGTCTCCTCCATCCCTCCCCCACTTCCTTCTCTGCAGCGGAAACCACTTTCACTCCTTTAGCTGATTCTTCTCACAGTTCTTTATCTCTAAATGATATGCATGTATTGCTACTTCTTGATTTTTCAGTTTTAGTCATCATCTGTTGACTTTCCACCGGAGAGGATGAAGATTGAATTCTCACTGTCAATATGTGCTCACGCGCGCGCGCGCACACACACACACACACACACACACACACACTCCTTCCCAATCTTTCCAAGCTGGTAGGAGGTAGGAGAATGAATGAATAAACTTTGGTAGGTTCAAATAATAAAATATTAGATAGCTGTGAAAATGAATGAACTATAGTTCCGGACAACAACAGTCACAAATCATGATGAATGAAAAAAGCATATCTTAGACAAGCACAAAGAGGGATACTCTATAAGATTCTAAACCAAGTAAAACAAAACAATACGTTGTTCATGCACCCATGTATGTAAAAAGACTATTTTTAAAAGCAAAGGAATGATAAACACAACATTCAGGATGGTGACTACCTGTAGGAGGCTGGAGGATGAGAAGGCAAAGAACCTGTAGATAGTTATTAGTTGGTTGGGTGGTGGGTTTCAGGGAATGTTCTTCACAGAAATACATGCAAATCAATGCGAATAATATGAGCGAACATGCATGAGCTATGCAGCGATCATGCGTTCTTAACCATTTAAAGACGTTCACAACCGTATTGGGCACCATGGCAAAAATTCTGGAAAAGCATATTGAATTAAATTGTTTCACAAATAATTTCCTCTCCTCCATTTTCTTTTCCTAGACTAATTTTTTGAGCATTGGCCCTCCTGGATTGATCCTCTATTTTCTATTTTCTCTTCTATTTTCCATCTCTTTGTCTCTTGCTCTATTTTCTGGGAGATTTCCTCTATTTCCAACTCTTCATTTCTAATGTTTTTAATTTCCAAAAGCTCAGTTTTTATTCCCTGAACGTCCTTTTTCTTTGCAGTATATCCTCCTCCAATTTAAGCTCCAGGATTCAACTTTCTTGGGTCTCCTGTATCATTTACTGTTTGTCCATCTATTTATTATCTCGTTATTATTCTCTCTACCATTCTCCACTTCTTTGTGGGTATTTGCCTTTTTAAAATACTGCAATTTTTATTAGTTGTTCAGGAAGTTCTCTATCTTTAAATTTTTAAAGTAAATATTTAGAACTATATTTACATATCAGCCCTTTGATTTTATATCACACCTTCAAATAGGACAAGAAATCCTTTACCCTTTTTCTCCCTTCCCTTATTTCTCCCCCTCTTTCCACCTCTCATGTGGAATAATCAGATTCTCATTCTGGAGTTTTCTCAATGCTTTCTTGGACTTATCACAGAGTTTTACTGGCTTCTTTGTCCCCCAGTACTTCTAACAGCTTATATTTTCCTCTTGGATTCTATATTAATTATCTACTGCTGTATAACACATTGCCATGTGCTTAGTGTTTAAAACAACATGCAAGTGCTGTCTCTCTGGGGATCAGGAATCCAGGCAGGGCTTTGCTGGGTCCTCTGCTTCAGGGTCTCTCATGGGCTGCAGTCAAGGTGTTGGCCTGGTTTGGGTCTCATCTAAAGGTTTGACTAGAGAAAGACCCAAGACTTAGCTCCTTTTGTGCTGTTGGACTGAAAGCCTCAGTTCCTAGCTAGATGTTGCTCGAAGGCATCCTTAGGATCTTTGCCACGCGGGCATCCCCATATGGCAGCTCACAACATGTCAGCTGGCTTCCTTGAGCAAGCAAAGGAGAAAATCTGCTAGCAGCTCAGAAGTCAGAATCGTTTGCTGTGTTTTCTTGGTTAGGAGCAATGCATAGGTCCCACTCACACTCAAAGGGAGCGGTTTACACAAGAGAGTGAGCACCAGGGTTGGGGATCATCCTTAGGGCCATTTTAGTATCTCTGCCACAGATTCCTGTTTCTTCTTGTTGGAGTATATCCTCTAATAATTCTCTCACATGTAGCTCTTGGTGGTAAAATATCTCAGATCTCGAAAGTCCGAAATGGATTTGTTTTGTCTTCCCACTTGACTGGTAGAGATGGGCATAGAATTTCTGGCTCATAATGTTTTTCCCCCCTCAGAGCTTTGATATTTATTATCTTCTTGCATCCAGTGTTGCCAAAAGAAAGGCTGATAGCAGTCTAATTTTTGTCCCTTTTTAGTTGATCTGTTTTTTTTTCTCTTTTAAGGATTTCTCTTTGATCCTTGGTGTGAAATGTCACTACACTGTGCCTAGCTATAGATCATTTTTTTTCTTCCTTCTTGATTGGTTTATCTTTCTGCTCTGTGGTTTGCATTTCTGCTTTGAGGTCTTTAAAAAATATATTATTAACATCTGATTGTCTACTAGCCAAAATTTCTAATTAATTGTTATTATTTTTTAATGCAAACATCTCTTATCCATCCAAAGGTATTGTTTGTAATTAATCTAAAGTCTTATAGTTTCTTCTGCTTGTTGGGTTTGGTATCTCTATTTCAAGGTGTTGTTAATCCTCAAATATTTTTTGACTCTTGGATATGTGGTTGTCTTTGTGTTGGGGTGTATCTGTCGGCTTTCACAGAAGGTTCTGGCAATGGGCTACTGGTAGGTATTCCTCACTTATTGCTTCCTAACCGAACCCTGATTATATTTGGGCAGTCATATGCCCTACCAGCTCAGGTAACAAATTTCAATCGTAGTAAGGCAATTGTTGTAATTTCAATGGCTCTTTTCCCCAGCCTCCCTTGCAGCTAGAGCTGGCATGTGATAAAGTTCTAGCCAATGAGATACAAGTAGAAGCCTACTGAGAAATTTTGGGAAATCTTTTACTTTATTATAAAGAGGACACTTGTGTGAGGAAAATTCAGTGATACTGTCTCTTTCCTTTTTATTCTTCCTTGGACATAGGCTTGATGTCTGGAGCATAGAAGCCATTGTGTGACCATGAGGCAGCTACACACTAAGGACGTTCAAGTGGAAAGGTAGGAAATCTGTTTTCTCGACGGTTTTGAGTCAGTGGTGCCAAACCTGAAACCTCCCCTAGACATCTTGTGATATGATTTAATTAAATATCTTTTTTGCTTGAGTCACTATTAATCAGATCTGTTATTATTTGTTAAACATTCCTGACAAATATGGCCAGCGTGTGAATGTTGTAACTGTTTGCTACATCCTGAATCCTGTGATTATGGTAGATACATGGAAGATTCTGCTAGGTCGGGTGAACCAGTAGCTTTTATGCCTTTGGCTAGAGAATCTCCTTCTTGGCTCTAAGTAGTAGAAGGCCGTTCAGGTGCCCACCATTCTACTCCTGGCTGTAGGCAGATGCTTCTGTCCTCTTCTTGGCACAGTCAGGGGAGGACAGCAAAGAGCAAGTTTCCAGCCCTGCTGTGATGCCCAACCAACCACCTTCAGGTAGCCCAAGAGCTTTCTTCTGTTTTCTATATCATTTCTGAGTTTAGATCCTCTAAGTTTCTCTTGAGTTCTATAGCAGCCTTCTCTTGCATGTGGTTTATGTCATGGTTTCCTCCTTTAGTCCAGCCTCATTCTCCCTCTGTCTTTCAAGGATTCCTGATCATTTCTGGTCTACTGAGAGCACTTGTTTTCCAGTGTTACCAGTGTGTGTGCGTGTGTGTGTGTGTGTGCGTGCGCACACGCGGACACACGCATCTCTGCGTATGTCTGCCTATGTTACATGTGATTCAGTAATCATGATTTATATTCATGAAAAGAGTCAGCCTTATTTTTAAGTATCTAAACCTTCTTCTAGAAATCTATCTAAAGAAATAGCAGAATTGTAGTCAGAGTTTTATAGTCAGAGATCGCCTTTCCAGTGTTGTTTACGCAATAGGATTGGTATCTCAGGATGTGAGTCTAAGATCATGAGTTTCTTTCTGTTTGACTTGAAGCATCCACCTGCCCTGAGGTGGAAGAGGAGGTGTGGGATGGAGAAATATTAAGGTTTACTTTAACTCATCATTTCTAAGATTTACATTTCTTTGAAGCTGGGATGTGTCCTACAATCATTGTCGGCTGACAATAGATGTTGGCTAGGCAGCTGTCACGATATGGTTGTCATTGTCTGCACATCTGCAGACTTGGTCTGAAAACCTTCTATTAACACCTCATATGTTAATAGGCCTGGGAGGTGCAGCAAAAAAAAAAAAAAAAAAAATTGCAGGATGGGTGTCAGCAGCTCGGAAGAAAATTTTGGAGGCAGTGGCAGATCTCTTAATCTCTGGGTTAAGAGCTCCTGTGTCAACGGCACTCTCAAGGCACAGACAATACTGTGGAGAAAGACTCCATCATCACCAACTCTAGTTGAAAAGGGATTCGAAAGAATCATTTTCTGCATCAGCCTCTCCTGTAAAGAAGTTTTAGGAACACTCTACAATTTATTTCGTTTCTCTTTTCCTTTTTACCTATTCACAAGAGTGATATATGGTAAAAATGTATGTCTGACTAAATCTAAAAAGAGCTTTTTCAAAAAGTATAAACCCAAATCCTAAATGATAAGAAAGTATTGTTCATAACTTAATTGGCAGCTTGCTTTTCTTTCTTGGGAGTACCTAAAATAACAGTGCATCTTATAACTAATGGCATTCATTTCAGTGAAGTGCAAAATTATAGAAAGAATGAAGACAGAAAGAAGGAATTAATACCCAGCTTCTGACATTCAAAATAGAATTATGCGGGAAGACATTAGCCTTGCAAAACGTGTGTCTTTCTTAAAGGAAGATCTAAATTATTTTCTTTGGATCCTGGGCACACTCACAACCCTCCTCCTTTGGCATTTCAACAGCCAAGCCCAGAGGACTCAGCCTGCGGGGTCCTCCCTAAGTGGAGAAACCTTCCCGCTCTGGAAAGTGGGAGGCTTGCGGCCCTGCACTAGCAGGACAGAAGTGGGACAGGAAGAGCACGGTGGAAGCCTTCCTGTCTCAGGCCCTGGGGAAAGCGGGAAGGTGAAACAATGAAGGAGGAGGAGGAGGAGGAGGAGGAGGAGGAGAAGGAGGAGGAGGAGGAAGAGAGCAAGTCAGGCAGAAATGAGACCTGAGTGAGTTAAGTTAGTAACTCAGTGACACCATGGTTGAGGGGGCTTTGCATCTCTTTCTGGTTGGAGCCCCTGGAGGAGGCTGCACCGTCTGTCACAGATGGAGGGGCCCTGTGGTTCCCACCCCTGAGCCCCAGCAGCGCCCCCATGGGTGGGCGGGGTCCTGATGAAGCTGAGAGTGAGCTGTGAAGTTGCTGGAGGGGATCCCTGTGAGGCGATAACACCCTGGATCAGAAGGGACCTGAGCAGACCCATGGCCCAACACCCCAAGTCTCCCTCCCGCCTGCCCCTGGGAACCCAGAAGCCACGCTCCTACCCCTCTGCTCCCTTTCACCATGTGGACAGCAGTGCAAGACTCACCTTTTTTCACCTTTATTCTTAGAGAGACTGAGCTTTGCATGTGTAAGGATTATTGGATAGAACGAAGATTTTAAAGGTAACTTTTTCCTCCCATACTAGCCAGAGACTAGGACGTGGAAAGACCAGAAAAATGAAAGAGCTACATATTTTTCTTCACATTTCAGCTACAGCTGTATTGCAGGGGGATGTATTGCAGGAGAATAGTTTAACAAGTTATTACATGTGCATAAAATATAGTTTTACCCAGTTATTAAAATTATCTCTATGGACTATGTTAGTGACACGATAAGTGGCAATCAAGAAAGAAATGTGTATATACCAAACAATCTCAGTTATGTATCAAAAATAGACTGGAGGAAATGCACTAAAATATTAACTACTGTTGCTTCGAGTGGAGAATTATGGGCGATTTTAATTCTTTATGCTCCTTTGTTTTTTCCAAATTTTCTACAGTGAGTATGTAGATCCGAAAAAAAATAATAATAAAATTTTAAAACAAAATCTTATATAGCAAATGTCACAGATGGATTTCTGAAGCCCCTCGCTCTTCTCCAATTGACACAAAACAGCTGCAAGAGAATGTGGATGACTGGGCTGAGGGACGGAGTGTGGGAAGTGGTCATTTCTCCCTGTTCCCCAGCGTCCAGTCCAAGTGCGACCATTGGCAGGGGAAAGTCGACAGGGTATCTGTGTGACACTAGCCCTCAAGGCTGAACCAGAGCTGCAGAGTTTCTCTAAGCTTGGTCCCAAATGTTACCGTGTACCATCACCTATGTCTCCATGAACACGTCCGTGAGGAATCTTCTGCTCAGATCGGCGTCCCTGCTCGCAGCTGTAGGAGGACCCCCAGTCCTCTGATTTTCAGAGACAACTTACTTCTCCACAGGCACCAAAGATGAACAAAGATTTAAGTACAACCAAAATGTGACCTGGTGAAGAAGGCAGCCAGTCTGTCTGATCGGGCAGAACTGCGTCCAGCGGTCAGAGCCAGGGAGTGTGGCTAGGGGCCCCGAAGTGATGCTCACGGAAACCCCACCGGCCTGTCCTACCTCTGCTCTGTTGGAAGGTTTCCCTTACACTTACAGATTAATAAGAAGTAGCTCATGTTTGATAACTGTGGACTCCGTGGTTTGCATACGTGCTCATTCCCACGAATAAAATATACAATCAATACACGAGTTCATTTCCTCATATCCTCATCAGCTATGAGTTTTATTAGTATTTAAGTCCTTCCTAAAAAAAAAATCTTATTTCCATGATGCTTTAATTTGAATTTCTCTGATTACAACTGAGATTGAATTTTAAGATGTTTCCACAGTTTAAAAAATTAACTCGTTTTTAATTGAAAAAGTAATTCACGTACATGATAAAAATATCAAACAGCATAAAAAGATTCACTGTGAAGCGTGAGTCTCCTTTCCGCCCTGGAGCCCCAGTCCCTGAGGCAGCCACTATGATCAGTTTCTTGTTTCTCCTTCCAGAAATATTTGTGCATAAACAAGCACACGTGCAGGTAGAAATGCATTTATGCACTTCTGTGTCCTTTATTCACCCCAAAAGAACATGTTTTTAGAGTCAAATTCTGAGAGCCGCCTACCTCTCAGACGTCATCTGTACTGTTCTCCCCGCCGGTCACCACACTCCAGCTGGACTGGCCGTCAAGGACCCTTTTCTGCCTCGGGACTTTTTTCTTGTACCCTGATGCCTCGCATTCCCCTTGAGGGAAGTCTTCCCTGCCCACCTGTTCTGAAGCAGAACCACTGCACCCGACCTCTGTCACACCTCTTTGTTGAGTTTCCTTCCTAGCATCTACCTCTATCGGAAATGATCTCATTTCTGTGTTGTCTCGTTTGTTCATTGCCCCTCTCCTCTACCAGGATGTAAGATTCCTGACAGCTTGAGTCAGCTGTTTTTTTTTTTTTTTTTTTACCTCTATTTATCCAGGACTTAGGAAAGTTCCCCACAGAGGAAGTCTTGGATTAATTCAGTTATCCCTCGGTGTCCGAGGGGTTTAGTTTTTCAGGACTCCTTCAGATCCCCGAATCCGAGGATGCTCAAGACCCTTAGAAAAAATGATGTCGTGTTTGCACATAACCTACGCGCCTCCTCCTGTTTGCTTTAAATCATCTCTAGATCACTTATAATACCTAATACAATGTAAATGCTATGTAAATAGTTGTTATACTAAATTGCTTGGGGCACAATGACAAGGAAAAAAAGTACGTGTTCAATACAGATGCGGCCATCATAGGCTGAACTCCATAGTACATGTCAGCAACAACATGACTTTTTTTTTCTGAATGCTTTTGATCTGTGATTGGTCGAATCCATGGACGCAGAACCCACGGATATAGGGGGACAACTGTATTTGTTGAGTGAGTGACTGTTGAGCATACTGTATTGTACTTTGCTGTTTTCACTTAATGATAAGTGAAATAGTTTGATATGGCATGCACGGTACCTAAGAGGCCCTCCAGATTGTGTTCTTTCTTAGGTGCAAGGTGCAACAATTTGTTCTTTAACAGAAATGTCTCAGCGTATCCAAGACTACTAAATCCCTAAAAGTTTCACCAATGTAGTAGACCTCTGAATTTTTTGTGGGGTTTGTCTTTCCCTCTCTGCCACACATGAGTCTAATTTCTGCTCACCACATCCAAATAGCATGATGTCATCGATATTACGGACTACCATTATGTTTTGTAGGATAAGGTCATTGAGGTCCCTGTGATCTGTTTTGTGACATAGAGCAAGAGAGATGTCACAGTCCAAGAGAAGAACTGTGACCGTGTACTGCTGTCCTTCCCACGTAAAAGCAAGCAAATTTTGATTCTTTCAACTAATGAGATCAAGAAGAAGGTGTTCATCAGCTCTACAGCTGTGAACATAGTGGCAGAGGCTGCGTTGCTCTGATTCAATGTAGACACTATATCCAGCAGGGCAACTGAGACTGGGGCTTGTCAGTTGGGTCCTCCAGGAGCCTAAGCTGAGATGGGCTTAGAAATGCAAGAGGTGTACTGTGAGGAAGCAGGACTGGGCGAGCAAAGCCTTCAGACCATAGTGCAGATATCCCACCTGTCAGTGGAAAGGAGGCAGGAAACAGGATGGGGCAGGGAGAGCCTCAGACAGCAAAGCAGATCCGACAGGGTCTAGTCCAGCCCAAGGGGAGTTTCGGAGCAAAGATCAACCTTTGCAAGGTCGAATGAAAGGCTGAATTGAACAACATTATGATGGAACCCGGCACTCTTGCCTCCTTCGGTCCTTTGAGAATGGCACTATGCTCTGCGGTTTCTCCCAGGATGGGGTATTACTTCTGATTGACTAATTGTCTAGGGGAAGAGGAGCCAGTTTCAGAGGCTTCCACTTCCACAGTGGCCCCTGGTCCCTGGGTCAGGGAACCAATGCGAGGTTCCTGCTAGCTTCCAGATAAATCTTTCCAAATTATAAATTTGGGAATGAGGGGAATTACCATGGGGTCATTCCACAGACCCAGTGGACCAACTGAAAGATAGAGTTGGCTCAAAACTCCATGAACTGCCTAAGTTCTATAAGCCCAGCCTAACAGGAGTACCGTGATGGCATTTCAGGTTCTCTGGTATTAATGTCACCAGAGACCCTTATTGCACAGTGCTTTAAAATCCTGGATAGCTCCTTACCCCAGCGCAATTATCCAGTCAATGGCCACAGATCCCTTTGGGGGAAGGACTGGAGAATAATTTAAACATACACTTGTGGTGGTATCTGTGGTATAATAAGAAAAAATATTTAGTCTTTGTTCGTGTTCCTGGCACAAAGCTCCTAAAAACTTGGGCATTTCCTGAATGATAAGGGTGATGGGCGCATCATTTCTTCTAAAGAGGCCTAGACTTGGCAATTGGTTGCCAGAAAGGCCAAGTGTTAATTAGAAGTTTGGAACTTTCAGCCCCAGCTCCCAACCTCCAGGGAGGGGAGAGGGACTTCAGACAATCAATCACCAATGTCCAATGATTTCATCAATCTCACCTATGTAATGAAGCTTCTATAATGAAGATTCTCTAAATGATGGGGTTTGGAGAGCTTCTGGGCTGATGAATGTGGGGGTGGGAGGGATGGCATACCCCACCTCCAAGAGAACAGAAGCTCTTGGCCTTGGGACCCTTCCAGACCTCATCTTATGTACCTCTTCGTGTGGCTGTTCATTTGTGTCTTTTATAATAACTGTACTGGTAAGGCCAGCATTTTCTTGAGTTCTGTGAGTTGTTCTAGCAATTTATCAAGGCTGAGAGGAGGGGTTGTGGGAACCCCTGAATTAGAAGCCAAGTCAGACAGAAGTGTGGGTAACCTGGGACCCGATACTTGAGACTGGCCTCTGAAGTGGGGGGCAGGCTTGTGGGATGGAGCCCTAAAACCTGTGGAGTCTGGTGCCAACTCCAGGTAGCTCGTGTCTGCATTGAACGGAATTGTAGGGCAACCATTGGTAATGGAGAATCGGAGAAGTGGTTGGTGTGAGGAAAAACCTCTCAGTGTTCCTCAAGGGACACTAAAATGGACGCTGGGTCTGAAAACTGACACAGGTCTGGGGATTGACAAGGAACCATAACTTCATTGTGGTGGATGACATTAGCCTTGAACTCACCAACTCGCATGCTCTCTCTGTCTCTGTCTTGTGTGTGTGTGTGTGTGTGTGTGTGTGCACCCTTTTATTTGGGAGTCTAGTTACCTGGTAGTATCTACTCACATCAATCCCACAGGGCATCTCAAAGACACTAGTAGCCCCCTCCTTCCTCCTTGCCTCTGGGCCTGGTCAGATGGTGGGTTCCCTCTAACATTCCCCTCTCCCTGAGCCTTGTAACCACTTCCTGTGTTAAGAAGTTCTGGCCTCTCCACCTCATTGTCCTGTATAAGTTTCATAGCCATCTCCACATACTATTAAGACGAACCCCAGGTACCCTTGATAGAATATTGAATACCACATCACAAACGAATGCCCATGTCAACGAATGCTCTGCGATCCAGCTTTATTTTCCACTCCCCTGGTTGTTCACCTCAGATCCACTGCCATGTTCCCCCCATTAGTCCCCCATGGCACATGCTGGCCAGGTCTGCCATTCCTTGGATGTGTGAGCTGATCCTCTGGGAGTAGAAACTGTACTTTCCAGCTCAGATTGTGGTGTGAGCCAATTCCATTGGCCTAGAGGTGATGAATGATGATGGAGGCAGATCTTAAGGAAAGCAAATGATATCTTGCAAGGCATCTGCTTCCACGGAGGTCTTTGCACTGCCCCCAGATTAGGGGAGGGGCTGCTGCTGCTGGCCAGGGGAATTTGGCCAGGGGAATTTGGCGGTTCAAGGCTTTCAGGCTCTTCCACCTACCAATATCCTCATCCCAGGGTCCATCCCTTCCTCTAGCAGGGCCTAATTTTAACAGGAGCTCTTGGAGCTCCACAGCCACCCTCCTTTGGGAGCACTGTCTCCCCTACAATTAGCTGCTGATGCTGACTTGCTACAGTTTGCCCTGAAGCTGCAAGAGACTGAGTCTCCCTAAAAACTGCTGTAAAGCTCCCAACCCTTAAGTTGGCCGTTAGCTACCCTGAGCCTGTCATTTTCCTTTTTGCAAGGTTTCCAAGTTGTTAATAAATGTCAGCACCCTACATTTCTTACAATGATCATTGCCCCCATACCTATCGAATACTACAGACGCTCCTTTCCCCAGCTCAGTTCCACCTTCTACCTGCACCTCACCCCCATTAACCCCAGATGAAACCTTAGTAATTTTGATGCCACTTTATGCCGAGTGTTATCACCAGCCACTCACCACTAGCAATGGTGTTCTTATTGCCATCCGAACCATAGGCAATCCAATTTCACAGACCTCTCCCAAGAGTCTAATTGTAAGGAGCACCCTTGGGACCAGTTGTCCTAGGGGGCAAGTGGTGCGGTGTGGCCACGGGGTCAGGTGCGGAGGATTGTTTCTCCAGGAAAGTGGTCGGAGCCCAAGCAGAGTTGGTCACTACAATGGAGAAGCTAGGACAGGATACGTCAAAGGCCCTGGAGGGGCCTTTGTGAGGACGAGAGGCTCTGATGTGGCATGAAGAGATGTCTGATACAAAGGCATGTCATAGATTTTCTTTCCAAACAAGGCTCACTCTATTTGCATTTATTGATGCAATGTGATGGATAGGTTTAGTTCTCATTCTGGCATCTTATTTTATGTTATGCTTTCTCTCTGAGTGCTTCCTTTGTTTTGTATCTTTTGCCCTCTGGTGTGTATGTGTGTTTTCTCCAGGTTATTTCACTGCATTTGTGGCAATTTGGCACTCTAATTCTTCTGGAACCATCGGACTTTGTCAAGACAAGATGTGTCAGATATGCTAAGATGTGATCTGATGCATAAAACCTAAGACTGTGCACATATGCGCCCCTCATTTGTTTTCCCAGTACATATTTGTGCCTTACGGGAATCCTGATCAATTCTATGTTGCCTGATGCCTATCAAAAGAGAAGAAAAACATTGGTGTGTTTAGAATTACACACACAGCTTTAGTGAAAACGTTCCTGAAAGAACTTCCATTTTGACTAGGGTTAATGAGAACCAAATCTTCCACTTACAATTTTATCTATCTGATGAGTGGAAGAATTTTCCGCCATCAGCTTTGGCTCCTTGCTTACGTTTCACACCTTATTCCCTCTCTACTCCTCACGCAGCCTCAGCACCAGGCACGGCAGTACCCACTTCTACAGTGACACGACCCCTTGCCCTGCTCCTTCGTGTCACACGCTTCGTGCCCGGCACCAGGTAGCTGAGTGAGCACAGAGGTGGGAGGGCACTCCTACGGTAGGACAGCTGGCAAAAACAGAGTTCTAGGTAGGAGAGACTGCAGATTACATAAACTTATCCCACAAAACCCAAATAAATGTGCCCCATGTCAACTTTCTCTCATTCAAATCCACTCCCACATCATATGACGTGAAGTAAAGAATTCTAGGCAAAGACAGTGATCTTAGCTGACAGCATCCAAACTGCCTTACCTATGAAAATTTAACCGAAGCCTGTGCCCATGTGAACACATTGTTGGACCTCTCCACCCCTGTTCTTAAAAGGGGCCGGGGCACTAAGGGGCCCACAACTTAAGCTGTCTTCTTGTTGTACGTGGTGGTTTATAATTTAATATGGACACATCAGTAACCTGCAAATAGGTGTCAGAAAGTCTAAGAAAGTGTTGTTTTTTTTTCTCACCATGATTGATGCTTTTTAGAAAAAAAATATCAAAATCTTTCAAAAAATGTTTTCTTGTTCTTTTAGTTTCCGTCTTGCTGGTGCCTGGTCTGCTGACTATGCTGTTGGGGCGAAGTCTCAGAGCCTGACAAACAGGAGGTTACGCTTCCCACGAAAGGTCACAGAGCAGCGCCGTCTGCTAGAATGCCCTGTGAAGATGGAAATGTGCGTCTGTGCTGTCCACGAGGGGAGCCACGTGTCCCTAGCTACTATACACTTGGAACATGCCTGGTGAGACCGAGGAATTGAGTTTTAAATTTTATTTAGGTTTAAGTAATGAAAATTTAAATTTAAATAGCCACATGTGGCTAGGGGCCAGCAGTGACAATTTGGAGTCCCTTGTAGAAAGATGACCTGACACAGGAAGGGGAAACAGGAGGGTGGCCATGCCATCCAGGTGGCTGTGACCAGCTTGGGGAGCTTTTTGTTTAGTCGGTTTTTAAACCATTTTATCGAGGTTTGATTGACATACAAAAAGCTGTACATATTTAATCTATACCATTTGATGCGTTTGGAGATAAGTATATACCCATGAAACCATCACTACAATCTATGCTATAAACACATTCAGCATCTCCAAAAGTTTCCTCAAGTCTTCTCGATTTATTTATTATCATTTTGTGCATGCGATAAGAACACTTAACCTAAGATCAACCCTCTTAGTAAATTTTTAAGTCCATCACACAGTATTAACTACGGGTACTGTGCTGTAGGGTAGCTCTCCAGGTCTCAGCCATCTTGTGTACCCTTCGACTACAACCGCCCAGTTTCCCTGCCCCCAGCCCCTGGCAACCACCCTTCTACTCTTTGCTTCTGTGTGTTTGACTACTTTAGATTCCTCACGTAAACGAGATCACGCAGTATTTACCTTTCTGTGTCCGGCTTCTTTCACTTCCAGGATCCTCGATGTTCTTGCATATGGCAGGGTTTCCTTCTTTTTTTAAGGCTGAATAATATTCCATTGGATGCCTGTACCATACTTTCTTTTCCTATCCATCTACTGATGGACATGTAGATTGCTTCCCCATCTTGGCTATTGTGAATAATGCTGCAAGGAACATGGGGGTGCAGACACCTCTGTGAGATCCCGATTTCAATTATTTTGGACACATACCCAGACGTGGGATTGCTGGATCATACGGTAGTTCTATTTTTAATTTCTTGAGAAACTTCCATGGTGTTTTCCATAGGGGCTGCACCAATTTATAATCCCACCAACAGTGCACAAGCATTCCCTATTGTCCACATCCTTGCTAAATAACACTAATCTTTTGTCGTTCTTACAATAGCCATTCTGCCAGGTGTGAGGTCAGATATCTCATTGTGGTTTTGGTTTGCATGTTCCTTATGATTAGTGACATAGAGCAGCCTTTCATGTACCTGTTGCCCATTGGTATGTCTTCTTTGGAGAAATACTTTTTCAGTTCCTTTGCCTTTTTTTTTTTTTCCCCTGCTACTGAGTTATAGGAGTCCCACAGCCTGCGGAGTGGGAGCCCAAGAGCGGTGCTGCCCAGAGGGCTTTCCCACTGGAGTTCTTCTGTGCCCTTCCTTCTTACACACTTTGGCTCAGCCAGGTAGGCTGAGTAGGGGGCAGGCTGGCCAACCCATTAGGCACAGTGCCCATGAAATTGTCTTAATTTCTTTTAAAAGCAGAAGAAAAAGAAGGCTTTGAGGGCCAAGGAAAATGTTTCAATATATGACAATATATTCATCTTTATGTCAACTTAAAATATAATGTAAAAAAATTTTTAATTGGGGAACAAACGTGCCTGAGACCCACGACAGTCATGTGTGTTGGGGGACAGGGTGCTTCTTCTACCACTGAAAGCTCACCTTGGGCTCCCAGGTATCTACCTGGCCACCTCCCCTTTTGAATGGTCCCCAGAGGCCACGCCTGGACTCCATGAATGGGCCCACCGGACCCAGATCTTGGCACGCAGGCGTCAAACAAGAGGACCGAGGCTCGGCAACCATCCCGGAGTCAGAAGGGACCCGGGCACCCAGGCTCGGACAACGCACTCATAGACCAATACATACCTGGGCAAAGGGCAGTAGGGAGCTGGGCAGGGGCTCCAGAATTCTGCGGGAGGATGGAGAGTGGCGAGTTTATTCGTCTTTACAGCCCTTCGGATACTGGCCCACTTTGCAGAGGAGGAATCACGGGCTCAGAGAGGTTGAGGAACTTGCCCAACCTCTGGATCACACAGCTGGGATCCAAACCTAGGTATCTCGTTGATCAGGCCTAGGCTTGGAACCCCTCCCTCCGCCACTGTGGGACCTCCGGCGGCGAGACATAAAGAACGGCTGCTGTGCTGACCACGCCGCACCCCCAATGGCTAACCCTTTTCTCCATCCCTGCTCCCTGGAAACTCATTCTCTCAGAGCCGATCCTATAGGGTCTCTGGGCCTCAGTTTCCCCTTTGTGCATGTGTTGGGGCAGGTTCTCCCCCTAGTAACAAGGAAGAGGCAGAGAAAAGAGGAGACGTGCTAAGGCCCCAGCCGCGGGTCTTCCCGGAAGCCCCCTCCCACCGCGCGCGGGCCGGGCGGGCAGGAATGGGGCTCGGCTCCTTTAAGTCCCGCCCGGGAACGCCCTTCCCGGAGCAGCCGCCGGGAATCGCGAGTTTCGGCGCGTCCTCCCGGCTGTCCCCTCGCGGTGCCGCCGCCTCCCCGCGCAGCGGCCTGGGGAGAATGAGCCGCATCTACCAGGACAGCGCGCTCCGGAAC